TTTGTGATGATTACAGCACAATAATATTTGCTCATTCCACATGTCAGTCACCTTGGCATTGTCATGGCCTGGGATGTGTAATGCAGCTCCCATTTAAGTACATTTAGCTCCCATTTAGCACAATTGGTCTATGGCATAATTTTCCTACCAGGGTTGTTTAAGGCTTGATTTTCTCAGAGCTGGGATTCAAATACTGTGAGACAAATTGTGATGATGTGATGGTGTCTAGTGCCCAGGCACTTGACAACAGATTATTGAATTGTTTCAAGTGGACTTGTTGACCTTTTTTGGGAATCCAAGCCTACATGATGTACCCAGTCAAAGTTTTGGTGCATGGCACAGCATACATTTTCCAATTTTTGCAACATATCTGGTGGTTTCAGTACCCCAAGTGGTAGCATGCTGGATCCATTATACCAAGGTTCTGCACTCTAAGCCAGGACAAAACAGTTATCCTAAGCCTGGACACTATACCTTCAGTTATGGCTGTCAAATAATAGGCATCCATCAGCTAGAAATTTGATGTACACTGTTGTGTAGTGTATTTTTAGTTGATTTCTGCAGTTTTTTTGTACTGACTGTGTTTTTTCTTATATCTATTGCTCTGATGTAACCATCATAGCAACCTCCATGCATAACAGGAAATGATAGCTTGCCAGTTTTAGTAAAATACCTGAGCTTGGGAGAAATTCCAGTAGCATGTGGTGTCATTAACCTAATAAGGCTCCCATGTCTTAGGATTTGACATGAATTTATCCTTGCCTTACCCAGCCATTTTCTTTTCATTTTTGTTCATTTTCAAAAGTAATGTGCTATTATTTCACAGTAATCTGATTATTGCTGGTATCATGTGGCCTCATGAAGTCATATTTAAACAATATTTTTCTGAATGGAGGGATATATTTCAATTATTGCAATTGATGGGGTTCAATAAGACATCCCTTGTTTACACCACAGCTTTGATAAAATAAGGTGGGATTTGTCAATGTTTAAATGTTGCTTTTTTAACGTAGTGTAATGCACCATCATACACATTCAGTTGCACAATGCTGTTAACATTATTATATGAGTTGAGACACATATTTCCACTTTTTGACACCAGTTAAAAACTGGTGTGGATATACAAATACCACTCAGCTACTTTAGAGTGCATTTGCCTGGCTAAGTAAAGACTGAGGTGCTCATCTGTAGTTCAGGCCAATCCTTCAATGATGATAGCTGTGAGGGTGTGCGACACATTCTGGTACAAGCAGCAGCATTTTGAAAATAAGATATATTAGAATTAACATGTCTTTTAAGAAGGGCAGGGGTTGCCTCTACCACAGGTGAAAGATGCAAAGCTGAAATTTTTATTGCTATCTGGGGAAAGGATATTTTTCTAAAATGGAGTGTAATGCTGGAACTCTCAAAGGTGTGTGTTTTTTAAGGTGGTTCACTGAGCTCATTGAAAGGAGCAACTAAGTTGTACTACTGCCATAATGCATCGCCAAATGCCTGGGTATTTCAGCATAAATATAGTTTCAGGCTATGACCTCCATTACAGGGCATATGGCACTCAGGTGTTTATCTGTTAAGTGACATTTGGCTAGCTATTACAACAAAGCTGTCCAATTGTATAGATATTGCATTGCAGCTTGGGCTGATGCTGCCAGTTTTTTCATAGAAGTATGAAGTGCATAATGAACAGATGTGTTTTCAGCATTAGTGACACATGCAACATGATAACTTGCAAGTCCCAATAAAGATAGTATGTTAGGGATAATTATAATGACTAGTGGGGAAATGTATACTGCTGGGAAGAGTTATGACATTCTTGACCTTCTGCATGGAGAGCTCAGTGTTTGTTTTGACTTACAGGGTAGGCATGCAGCAAAGTGTCCCTAAACCAGGCATAGTGCATCACAAATGTTGTTTGTAGTGGGCTCTACTATGTATTGAATAAGTATTCACAATGCTCAATGCTTGGCAAGGTAGCAGTGCCATATACCATTTTGAAGCAGTAATGGTTGTATCAATTTCACATTCTTCATGAATTTGCAAGCAAAATTATTAAGTCTGTGCTTTCTGGTTTATTTTGCTTCTGATTGTGAAGCTGCTGGCTACAAGCCAATGTTTGTTGGTTTATGGTGGTCTTGTTTATCCTTGTAAGACTTCATGCTTGTTTATAGAGCACCATTAGTAGCACCATGCCCACCTCCAGCTGGAATGTGAGCCAAAGTTTATCTCTTGATTGGTCATTCACTGGAGGATGAAGCTTGAAGCCAACCAGTTACTGAAGCTGTTGAGGCACTGAGTTATTAATGCACAATGGTTTCAAGTTTTTCAATGTCAGGTGAGTAAATTTGGAACCTACTGCCAGCCTTGTGGTGAGATGTGAACAGAGAGGACTGCTATTTGGTGGGAGCATGCTGGCTACAATCAGTAAGCCTATCAGCAACAAGCATATTTTTCATTAGATGTTAGTCTGCTGGCTTGTTGAGACAGGTTCCTTAAGGAGCCCTCAGCAGCATGCCTGGTGTGTGAGTACTGAGATCATCACTAATTCATGCACACCATAAAAATTTTATTGGGCAATTGCCAGACCTTGTTCAAAGGCATTGCTGTTCAGCTTTGACCTATTTATTGTTCACATATCTGTACCTGATCTGTAGCAAAATGCTATGAGAGCCCAGGTCATTTCCTGGTATTCAGCTGAACCTCCAGATGCAGTATGTTTGCTCCCAGATACAAAGATGTCATTGATGTTGGAAATGTGATGTCTCATTCTATTTCACCTCCCATGCTATTAAAGTACATTTGTCTTTTTCAGACATGTAGAAAGTGAGTTGTTTCTCATGATGCTGTCTTAACATTGCCTTGGGAGAGAACAAACAGTATCATTTATCTCATTACAACCCCTAATGCATAGTTTTCCAGTATATATAACACCAGTAAATGTGGATTTGTCAGCCAACACCTACACATCATACATACCCCTCTCCTCCATGCATTGGTGTCTATCATTGTGACCCTTGATCATTGACACTGTTCCTGGTCAGTGTCATGCTCCTTAACAGCTCACCATTGACTAGAGGAGTGGACAGATTTGCCTTCTCCCCAACCTGCTGATCTCAAGCATGACAATAAGTGTATTCTAATGGTTTTGTGGATTGACTTCATGGTTTTGATGATTTATTGGTTTTGGCACTCACAGAAAGGATAGAAATCATCAGCTGACAGTTATTGAATATTTTAAACCAGCATATCAGCATGTTTCTTAGTTATCATGAATAGTCAAGATATGTGGCAGGGTTTGCACTGTGGTGGATGCCATGCGAAGGTGGTGCCTGAATGACTGGTGGCCCCTTCACTAGTGAAGTTAGACTTTTTACAGGCCACTCATGGGCAAGGATGGTATGAGATTTTCCACGTTGTGTTCTTTAGTAGTCAGCGCTTTCTTTGCATATTGAAATAGAGCTGAAAACATTTGAGGTGATATTGGCAGCTCCTTCTCACTATTTCAGTTGTTTCCTGACTGCTGGTCATGAGAATCAGTGTGTGTTTGCACCCTGGTATCAAGTTTTGATTGGATGGTAAAGTTGGTGAAAATTGCCAAAATTGTCGTATTTCTGCAATTGCTTGATAGGCGGATAAAGCGGGATGGATTTCAGCACGGAAGTGGCGGTCCACATGTACGTCTCGTGCAACATGGCGTCGCGGTTACTTGGCAGCACAGCATAAATGCTCACTGTCAGGCGCCAAGTGTGGCTTAAACAGCGGACAGGACGTGCAGTTGGTGACGTAGTTTCGATCACACGATCCAAATTGTCACCACCCCGGCTGCCTTGTCCTTGAATATTCGTACCGCCACACCGGGGCACTACACCAGTCGCATCACCTAGCTCATCTGTTATGAGGCTTAAGCAGGAAGCTCGCATACCGCTCATTTCCGTCCATTACCGCTCATACTGTTTCATACCGTCCTTAATGGATGGCGGGCCCTCGATGATTCTTTACAATTGCGGAACGCGTGGGTTGATGAAGTTTTACGTCAATGTCGGACGATAAGTTTAACTTAATATGTATTTTGTACGAATTCGTGCAGTTTTTTTTCTAAGCCAGACAATATCAGTGGCAATAAGTGGTAACGATTCTGGGGGCGTCGAAACGAGGCCAGGGCTGAGAGAACGTACGCCTCATAAATTGTGGCCAAACAGGGCTTAAGTTGTCTTGACAGTGAGACTGAAGCCATGACGGCGTGCCCTTCCACAGTCCTCGTCAGCTGACCGTGTGTGCGGGCCAGCCATGCTGACGCCGACCCCTGAGCGCTGAGGCGGTGCTCGGCGTGTGAGCGGCAGCTGGCGTGCGGGTCATGACCGACCAGCAGGTGGCCAGTGTGGGCGTGCCGGAGGGCGCGCCGCCGCCGCCGCCGCCGCCTCTCGGCCCGCTGGCGGCGCTGGCCGGCGTCGCCTCGGCCGACGAGGAGAACCGCCTCAAGTCGGACCTCATAGACGAGATCTTCGGCGGTCAGGATCTGGCGGCGGCTCCGAAGCTGTGCGCCGACCTGGAGCGCGCCTCGCTGCGCACCTCGCTGGAGGAGGAACCGGACAGCGGCAGCCTCGATGCCGTGGCGCTCAACCTGGAGCACGCGCTGTCGGGCATCTTCGATGAGGTGGAGGGTGCAGGAGGAGCCGAGCCGGCCGTTCGTCAGCAACGGCCAGGCGGAGTCACCGGCGGCGCGCGGCCTCCCGCTGCCGCCCGTGCCGCCGCCGGCTGGTGACGGCGACGACGGCGGCAACAACGACAACAATGCCAACAACAACAATAGCGGCGGCGGCGACGACGACGACGACATTGTGGTGCTGGACGAGATCCGCACGGCGGGCGGCGGCGGCGGCGGCGGTGCCTCCCAAGCCGCGCCTGCTTGGGCCAGCGAGCAAGCGCAAGGGCTCGGCAATGCTGGGCCCGGCGAGCAAGCGGCGCGGGCCGTGGCGCCGGCGCCGGCCGCCGGCGCCCGGTCCCGCCTGCTCGGCCCGGCCAGCAAGCGCAGCGACCGGGCGTCGCTCGGCCCGCCCAGCAGCAGGGCTCCACCCGCTGACGACGGTGAGCACACCGCAGCTTCGGCTGCGCTCTGGTCAACGTATCCGCGGGCTTACGTAACAGCCGTCCACCCGGCTCTTAAAAAACAAACGTTTTTAGGCATTGTTTTTGTATATATTACTTTAATTAGCAGTAGACTGTGTAGAAAATGCGAGTCAGTTAAATAAACTTGCCGTTTTTCATTATGTTGCATCGTCTTGAGTATCTCTATGCTGTGCGCAGAGATAATCATGATTCGTTGTGATTCGTCGTGATTCGTTGTGCGCTGTGCCAGCACATCCTGACCGTCAGCAGACGAGAACGATCCGTGGCGTGTGTGTGGGGACACCATCGCCCGCCATAGTGCCATTAAAGCGGCGACAGAAACGTCGGGCAATAGTTTTACACCAAAATGATCCAACGTGGATACCCGTAATGCCGTTGAGAAAATGTAAAGATGTTGTTGCCATCTGTTCAAAGACGTAGAACAGACGGCATTCGCGAATAACAGTGGTGATTTGGGAGCTGGCGGCCACAAAATGGTCGCCTGGATCACGTAGTTAAAAATGGTAGCTGGGAACAGGTCCAAAACCGCATCTGAGTTCACGGAGATCTCAAAGGAATATGCTTGAGGGAGGGGATGGGGGCGATTGTCATTCCGCACCGATGGCCATTCGAGGCAAGGGTTGCCATTTTGTTTGCCGTCGACTTTGTTTGCCGTAGACGCTGAGCTCTACGTTATCATGAACTTCAACGAAATGGTAAAAGGGGGTGCATTTGGTGTACAAGGCGCCTTGCATGCTCTCAGAAACGGCGTCGAGTTCGGCAGGCCGATGTGACCGGGCCACGACAATCTTACACCACATGCACAATGAAAGCGTGAACAATTATGCGAACTCGACGACGCCCTTCGTCGTTTTTCCTGAGTCCCAGAAACTTGTTTGGGGGTGTGGGTATGGTTGCCCACTCCTAGTCGTGCGGCGGGGGAGGGATAGCATTAATATATAAAGCTGGTGTTGTTTCATTCGTTGCCACGCCGCGTAGGCTACGTATATGCTGTTATTCTTATTTCGAGCGTATGTATCAGAAGGAACCAAAGAATTTAAAGTCTGCGTGGTTATTTTGGCGACAGTGCCATAGACCAGTCTTCTTTCTTTCAGACTTGTCGGACTCTGATTCCGAGGCAGCGCAGTTGAGCCCGGAGTACATCAAAATGGTAAGCGTGTCAGCAGTGTGTGGTGAAGCGGTAGAGCGGGCAGTGTTCCTTGGCTCTCTTGTGGCTCTTGATTCCTCTGGTTGTACGATGTCGGGTCTCTCCTCCCGAACTTGACCGATTTGTGTGACTTGCGATGTTAAACCACCGGTGTCTGGCGGGCCCGCGTGAGCGCCCGCTCGGCCGCCTCCTGGCGCTCAGCCGGCGCTGCGGCGCCCCGTCTGCCGCAGGTGGGTGAGGCGCACCAGCTGGTGGTCGGTGTCAGCCTGCGACTCAACAACGTCTGCCTGGAGACAAGTCAGACGTCGCGCCAGTGGGCGGTCACGCAGCAGCAGCGGCGCGACAGTCGCCGCCGGTACTGGGAGGAGGTGCGCCGCGGGCCGCGGCCGCCACCGCGGCGCGCCGCGCGGACCTCGCGCAGCCGCGTCAAGCCGCCGCCCGCCGCCAGCCTCACGCACACGCCTGTCAATTTCGCCGCCACTAAGCAGCTGATGAGCCTGATTCACCGTGGTGTGGTGCAGATGACGAGCGTCGGCGGCCCGGCAGTTACCGCAGCTCAACGGGCGCGCTGCCTGTCGGAAGCCGGCGGCGCCGGCGGCCGGCCGCGTCATGGTGTCGATCCCGGCGGCCAGCCTGCAGGCGCGCCATCTGACGCCGCACGTCAGCACGGCTGGCCGCGCGCGGCCCGGCGGCCGCACCGTCACCAAGGCGGCCAGCGTCGCCGCCAAGTCGGTCAGCGCCGCCACCAACCTGGCTGCCATCCCCGACCTGGGCGAGAAGCAGCGCTCGCAGCTGCCTCAAGCTGCTTCAGGGCAACAACGGCACGTCCATCTCGCCGGCGGCGCCGGAGCCCCGGCCGCGGTCGCGAGCGCCGCCCTCCCGCCGGCCGCCGGCGCGGTTCGTGCCGACCAAGGCGGCGGCGCGATCCGCACCACCGCCGCCGGCGGCGCCGTCTCCAGAGCCGGAGCGCGGCGTGATGGTGCCCCTCATTACTGCCACGTGAACAGCGGCAACCCCGATGATCTGTTTTCCGTGTACCTGTCGGCACCACAGCACCCGGACAAGTGTTTCGTCAACATGCAAATCGCCAACGTGTGTCTGAAGATGCGGCTGCCGGCCCGGCCCAAGAGCACGGGCATGGTGTTCGCGCAAGTTACGCGACACGCCATGGAACCCCTCTGCCAGGTGACGGTGGGCAAGGACGTGTTCGTGCCGCCGGTGCTGGCCGGCAGCGAACCCGAGCTGGCCAGCCGGCCGGCGCCTAAGTCGCGTGTGGTAGCCGCTCGCGCTGCCGCCGCCGCCGCTGCCGCCGCAATCCGCCGCCGCCCCCGCCTCCGTAGCTGCTGCGCCCACCGCGTCGGATGCGCAGAGACCCTTCCCGTGCACCAAGTGTTCGCAGCGCTTCGCGAACGCGGAAATGCTCAGCTACCACTTCAAAGCGTACCACGCGCCGGCGCAGGTGGTCGACATCTCGTCCCTGTATGACTGTCCGCTGTGCGGTGCCTGGTCCGGCCCCTACAACAGCTTGCGGGACCACTTGGTGTCGCGGCCACGCCCCCGCCCGCAACGGCAAGTATGTCTGCACTGTCTGCAAGCGCTGCTGGCCGGCCGCGCGGCCAAGGTGTCGCCGCCGTTATGGTTGTCGCCACGTGATGTGCCACGCGCGTCCGCGTACAGCCAAAGCAGCGCCGTCGCAAGCCGGCCGGTCGCCGCGCTCGTGCGAAGCCGGCGGTGTCCAGCCAGTTTTCCTGCCCCAACTGCAATCGCTGTTTTCGACGACGTGGCCAAGTTCCCGGAGCACTGGATCAAGGCGCACTCGTGGGTCCGGTGGCGCGCGCCCCCGCCGCGGCGGCCCCCACCAGCGCCGGCGTCCGCGCCGCGGCGCGGCAATCGAAGCGCGCCTCGGTCGCGCCGGCTCCGAACCGCCACGCTCGGCGCCCAGCGAGGCGCGCTTCGCGACGCGCTTCGACGGCGAGTCGGCGACCGCCTCGCCGTCCGCGCCATCGACCGGCGCAGCGCCGCCGGCCGCCGGCGGCACGCTGCGCTGCGCTCGCTGTGGCGGACCACTTCGGAGACGAGTCGGCCTACGCGCAGCACTGGATCAACGCGCACACGCGCATCCGACTGTCGGCCGACCAGCAGGCGACGGGCCGGAGCCAGCCGGACGGCAGCGGCGACGGCGGCCAGTCGGAGCGCCCGAGCCCGGCTGAGACCGCCGGCGCGCGACCTGAGAACGGGGCCGGCGACCGGACGCACGAGGGGGCAGCAGTGTCACGCATGACGCGGCGGCCGAAGCGAACAAAGACGACACCGAGAACCCCGCTCCCGGTGACAACGGCGTCGCAGAGGACAGCGTGCTGCCCCGATGGGACGATCTGGCCGACGGCCCAGCTCCCGAACCCAACGGTGATCCCTCTGATATTCCACTACCTGAGGTGAACGGTGAGGCAGCTGACGCGGTGGAGTCGGCGGACGGTGCGGCTGCTGACGCGGACTTGACGGCACCCGCTGTGGACAGTGACTCGGGCACGGAGCCGCCGGCCCTGGCCCCCGGTGACTTCCCCGAGCCGCCGGCCAGCCTGATGCAGGATGCCGCGCCGGCCGACGGGCCTGCGCTGGCGTCCGGCGTAACCGGTGGTGAGCCGGGCGGCCAGCAGGTCAGTACGGATGCGGCCGACGGCGAGCAGGTCAGTATGGACGTGAACGCGGTCGGCGACGCGCCTGTACCGCCGCCGCTTCTGGAGGCTGACTTCGAGCTGAGCGAGGACACGCTGGACAACATGCTGCAGCAGATCATGCCAGATGTGCGCAAGTAGCGCCGTGAGGCGACGGGCGCTCCGCCGTCAGGACAGCACCGAACCTCACGCAGGCCACGTGAGGAAAGACCACTTAAGTGTCTGTAGTGGTGATTTTTGTAAAGGTCTTTAGTGATTCTGGCAAAGGATGTCAATGCTTCATCTGTAAATACGAGGTTTTAGTACTTTAGCATCTGTCCAATACAAGTGTCAGATGTTTTAGGTGCAAGTATGGCGCATCGCTGCTTGCATGTGGCCGAGGTCACTATTTCTCTCGGAACACCATCCGCAGCAGACCCATGTCATGCTACAGACTGAGCGTGTTTCAATATGCTACTGAGTGGACTGTGTCCTGGAAGATCGATGCCGACTGTCTCCGGCTGAGGTCATTGGCCCCGCCCGGCGTCTTGAGTCCGCGCACCGCAATGTTGGCTGGCTCTTCAGGAAGCCACCACGCGATACAAATATTATGTACTGTTGCCTCGTAGGTCGTGCTGTTTCGGCCCTCCGAACTGTTAATTCCTTAACATAAGTATTTGGACTCTACGTCTGACCCGCCCCCGAAGTCCACATTAATTTGAAATCGATAGCATGTGTGATCAGGCTGGTTGAGATGTCGGCCCGTTGTGTGCATATTTTTTGTATTTAATGTGCTATTTCTGTTCTAATAAATGTAGGGAAAATAGATACCATATCGGATGTTCTTTCCTGTTAGGGTGATGAGAAAGGTTGGCTGATTTTTTTTCCATGCAAGCCGACTAGCTCATGTTCAAACAGTCCCGGCGACCATCGCTCGGAGTCACACCGGTCTCGTGCTGCCGTGGGCAGGCAAGGCGACATACAGCGGGCCATTTTAAAACCCGTGGTAGTGCATCTTTTGGTTCATTGGTAGCGCTTTGGGTGGGCAATGCCAGTGCCTTTCCTGCAATCACGGGTCGGTCATGCTGATTTATTCCGGTAGATATGGAAACGCCACTGTTGGAGAGAACTGCTGCAGAGCTACCAAATGAGAACAGTTTTCTCGCCGGCTTGCGAGGTTTTGCGTAATATCAAGCGTGAACATCATCCGCCGCTACGGGTGGCAGCGGAGGCCCCACAATAGCAGCGCAACGGCGCGGTGGCAGCGAGGTCGTAGGACTTCTTGAAGTCAGCTCGATGATCAGAATGCAGCGATGCTGAGTGAGGTGAGCAAGTGTTGGTAAGAAGGGGACACAAGGTTGACAAAGGCTCCCCCAAAAAAGCCGCCGGACGTAACCCATTTGTTTTTGAGGGCATGCTTTTCATATATATATATATATATATATATATATATATTATATATATATATATATATATATATATATATTGCCACATTTTTGCTTTTTTTACTGGATTATGGGTCGGACGTTACGGGCGGGATAATTCTGCTTCAGTTTTATAGCAAATAACCTGACAAGTCACGCGTTAAATGACTGGATGATAATCGCTGGCGCTCATTTTAAATGGTCCAGTGGACTCTTCTCAAACCGAGAGAACTCGGAAACTGGTCAGGGTTTTTATCTAGGCCGTACGGAAATAGCAAGAATGTAGATTGAAGATCAAAAGGGGCTAACGATTTGTATTAACATGGCCGGCCATGTTAGTCTGGATATCTTCAACATTCATTCAGAATGGATAATCGATGCAAAGTTGTAGACGTCGTTTTGAACATGCGCGCTCGCACATCTTGGAAATAAAAACTCGATATCAGGTGTTGCGGTCTTCATGGGCCGCGCAACGTTAGTCCCGTGCCTAACACTACACCGTGGCCAACTTGTGGACGAAGATGGTGACGCATTGGAAAGAAGTATCTTTGAACGCTTTTGGACAACAAACCGCACATTTAAGACATTCCGTGCTTAATTTCACCTGTGTGGTTTTTAAGTTGATGACAATAACGTATTGGTCTCTGCAGCACCGCGAAGTGCTGCTGGAATCCGGTTGTGGAACTGGAAGAGTAAAGGCAAAAATTCCAAACTGTCGTGTTGCTGTAGCTGTTAATTTGTCCAGAGGACATCCTCAAAGTTGTAAAAAAAGATTCGCCCAGTGATATCTTTGAACTGTACGCATTAAATTCGAAAAACATTCGGAAGCCCTCATTTTACTATAGTCATTGCTGCGCCCTCGGTGCCCACCCCCTGGCGCCACTTGTAGTGGCCAACGCCGTTCGATTCTCGAAAACTGCGACCCAGGCCGTCGCCGTCTTTGCTCCCCGAGATTACGGGCGCGTCATTGGTGCCTAATGACACACTCAGCTTGCCGTGGCTGTGTGGCGCCGCCAGTCCTCACTGGCGGAAATGAACTCTGTTCCTTTGGTTTCCCAGACACGCAGTGGTTAACGCGGGCGCGTGAAACCACCACTTTATCGGTATCTTCCATATTGCTGTTCGCCTCTAACCGACACAGAGCCCCTCATTATCTCCGGGATCCTCAACATTGCAAATCGCATACCTCGGCCTCGTTTCTGCTTGGGAAATGGGTCTCAAGGGCTCAGAAGAACATTGAGCTGACTGTTTGGCGTTCGTGGCATCTGACTGCTTAAACCCCCCACATT